GATACTAGTGATATTAATGCCTGATGTCCAGAATTTGTTTCTATTAAGAAAAAATATTAATATTATCAGAAATTAATTTTTTGTTGAGATGAAAGCAATGGCTATCTTTAAAAAAAAATTATGTAAATCTGCTGTATTAACTACTTTAATATAATTGCGATTATCAGTCTAGCAATAAATTATCAAACCTAAAATGCCATCTCATTACATCACACAAACTTTGCAAAATCCTGTTATGTATGTGTATGTTTTCAGATATTTATGATACTAAACAGTATAAAAGAATAAGCTACAGCACATGCACATTTAAAAGGTTTACTCTGCTAAGTTGTTTTCTGAATGCTATTTCAAAAGCCTGCCAGACAGTAGTATAAACCATCTTTACCTGTTTTGTTACAACATAGTAGGCATAAGCTCCTATTGCTGTGCCATATGTCACAAAGTATGTCACAGGCTCCATGATATCCCATGAGTATTCCCACCAGGTCAGTCTGGCTAGGAAACCAAACTGGAGAGCCATGTATCCAAGTCCAGCCCATGTCAAGATGCTAGTGCGACGCTCAGCGGCTGTCACCAAATCCTCACGTTTCTGCAAGAAAATTAAATTAAATAAAAGACATCAATAAACCTATTGCCATATTTTTCATTCACCTGGGTGTTATTTTTAGAACTTTCTACCCACAATTAGACTGTGGTAATGTTCTCAGACTACACTACTCATCAAAAGCAAACCTGAGCTATTTAACTCCTTGGATCCAGGTACCTCACAGCCAACATATGGACCAAAACCTAGACATTAAGCTTACTTGAGTGGTGACTCTCTTGTAGGCCCAGCCAACATGAACACTCATATGTAATATCAAGCCCTCTTGCCTCCACTTTGCAACATTTTCTTTTTTTTTCTGTATAAGCCTTTTTTGCTGATTTGACATTTTCCAAGGTCTACATTTGTCATATATTATGCTGTATCAAGATGGTAAAAGAATGTTTTCCTTGAGCAAACTCCATATCATCTCTCTATTCTACAACTCTGTGCAATAACAAGAACAATCAGATACATTATGTTATCTGTCTATTTTTTTTTGTAATATAATCTGCATTGCTGGTTGTAGCAGGCAGGAACAGGATTCTGAGCATGGAAATAGTGTCCTCCTTGGAGCCAGTGTTTTTCCAGCCTTAGTTCATGGATGGTACGTTCCACTCTTGTTTAATTTTTTGTAATATAACCTGCATTGCTGGTTGCAGCAGGCAGGAACAGGATTCTGAGCATGGAAATAGTGTCCTCCTTGGAGCCAGTGTTTTTCCAGCCTTAGTTCATGGATGGTACGTTCCACTCTTGTTTAACTCAATGCCAACGGACATGACGTGTATGTACATGCTATATCCACTGAATTACTTGTTTGATTGTTTTTACACATAGATGGCTACACTTATACTAAGTCACCAATGAGCCAATTACGAGTACTGCCTGTCTCACCCGTTTACCATTTTCTTTGATTTAAGAAAACATTTTACATTATCTTATTTTACTATTACTAATGTATATAACATTATAGTAATTATAATGTTTATAATAAAAATAACACCATCGATATTCAAAGCACTAATAAAAAACACATTTTTTTTTTTTTTTTTTTTTTTTTTTTTTTTTTTTTTTTGTAATATAACCTGCATTGCTGGTTGCAGCAGGCAGGAACAGGATTCTGAGCATGGAAATAGTGTCCTCCTTGGAGCCAGTGTTCTTCCAGCCTTGGTTCATGGATGGTACGTTCCACTCTTGTTTAATTCAATGCCAATGGACATGAAGTGTATGTACATGCTATATCCACTGAATTACTTGTTTGATTGTTTTTACACATAGATGGCTACACTTATACTAAGTCACCAATGAGCCAATTACGAGTACTGCCTATCTCACCCGTTTACCCTTTTCTTTGATTTAAGAAAACATTTTACATTATCTTATTTTACTGTTACTTATGTATATAACATTATAGTAATTAAAATGTTTATAATAAAAATAACACCATCGATATTCAAAGCACTAGTAAAAAACACATTTTTCCCGTCAATTCAAATCACGTAAGGTCACAAGGTCTACTAATTGACTCCTTTGTGGCTAATTACTAGCAGAACCATCTATGTGCAGAGACATTTCACAAAAAATATAGAAAATGAGCACAGCATTTACCACATTTTTTATTCATGTATTTTCTTACAATGCGTAAACATATTCCCCTTCAATAACAGCAACACACAAGAGGGTTCAGTTCATTTGACAAAAGTATAATAGTTTATTTGCATTTAATTTCTTCAGTAAAATTAGTATATAAGTAAATTATATTACTTCTCTCTCAGGAACTTTTAAGGCTCTCATGGCTCTTATTATTGAACATCATAAGTGAGTACAGTAAAACGTGATTTCTACATTATACTGACAAGTTGTAACACAAGTATTTCATATTTATCATGATTATAAATTTGAGACCTGTAACAGAAC